CTCACAAATTCCTTTAAAATGAAATCTTTCATAATTCAAATTTTGAATTATATATATAAGGGAGTTAAATCAATATAATGTCAATTCTACCAAACAGCCCCTAAAAGTTTGCTTTACATAATGCATAATGCAATGGAGGAGCAATTTTAGCATTCATTGTTCAAGCATAGGCAGAAATTAAGTATGATTTTATCTGGGATATTTTAAGCTTTTTAATTTCTGCTTTTAAAAGCTTCATTTGGGATAACTTTTTTGTTGTTTTATGAAGCAATTTTATAGTACAAAAATTTTATATTTAAAAAAAAAATTTGTACCAAGAAACTATTTCATAAAGCAATAAAGTTAGTAAGAAAGATGTAAAAAAGAAACTAAGACTTCGCTTGTTATAGTTTTTTTATTGCTTTCTAAATTTACTATTGTAGTTAAAATTTTTTTGAATTAGAAATTTTTGTACTAAAAATTTATTTTAGAAAGCAATATTGAGAAAGCTGTCTCAAACGTTTTTTTTTTGTTGATTTTTTTATTGCTTCTTAAAACAGCTTTATAGTAAAATAAATAATTTTTTTTTGCAAGAAAAAAGAAAATTGCTTTAAAAGGAAGCCTAAATCATAAATTCAAAAGTGTTACTTCCAAAGCATTTTTTTAATGCCAAAAGTTTGAAGAAATGATGAAAATATTGTCTTTCCAACCGACATTATTTTTTATTAATTGCTTTTCTTATCATAAAAGCAGTTGAAAAACTCTTCCAAACAAAATCTGCATATTTAATGACATTTTGGTTTGAAATAAGTAAATTATAATGTAGTTATAATTCATATAATTCAAATCAAAAAAAAAAATGACAGAGAATTTACATTATCAAATTCGATGTCATTAAAACTGAATAAATCAACACTCCAAATTATATATTATGCCATATTAACTCCTCACAAATTCCTTTAAAATGAAATCTTTCATAATTCAAATTTTGAATTATATATAAGGGAGTTAAATCAATATAATGTCAAAAGTAAAATAAAAAGTGTGATATCTATGAATCTTATGGGCCAATTTAAATTTCTTTTGAAATAAAATCAATTCAAACCCTCATAATCAGAAATTAATTGAATCAAACACACTAATTTAATATTCACATTAGTATATATATATAATTATGAGCATATACGTGAAAAGGTTGGAGTAGCTCCAGTAGAAGATAAGATTATAGAGGGTCGTCTTATATGGTTTGGTCACATAAAACTGCGGCCTTCCAATGACCCGGTTAGGAGATTAGAGGTATTAGATTTGACTTATGTTAAGAATGGTAGAGGCAGAACTAAAAAGACTTGGTGAGAAAATATTAGAAATGACCTTTATTTATTAGATTTAAATGAGAATTTGACCTTTAATAGAACACAATGGAGAAAAAGGATTCATGTAGCCAACCCCACGAAGTGGGATAAATGCTTGATGTTGTTGTTGTTGTATTAGTGTATATTTAATTATAGAAGGTAAGATATAATCATGACTTGCATTGTTAAGCATGATCTTAATCAAGCTAGCTAATCTCATATGTTAAAATTTCTACAAATAGTGATGTGATGGCCCATTTCATTCATAACAAAAACAAAATCCTCCATCTCCTACAACTTATTATTCTTCCCCTCGCTTAAAATCTACAACAAAACAAATTATAAACAGCTACAGATCTCATCCATTCCCATGCAGACAAATCCCATCCAACCTCCTACTCACAAATGGACAGAAAATCTCTATCCTTATCCACAACACAACATCATAGTCATTCATTTCTCTCCACGTTACTCTCTTTTCTCTCTCTCTCTCTCCCTCTCTCTCTTTCTCTCTGTGAACTATATAACCACACAAAACATCATAGTCTTCCATTTCTCTCCACGTTACTCTCCTCCCCTTCTCTCTCTAAACTATATAACCCAAACTACTAGTACTATATATTCGATCATTTCACCTTGAAGCTTACCCTTCTCCTTCGCATTCAACCATGTCCTCTGCAACAATGACTGTCCCTTCCATCTTCATCTCCAACTCCAAACCATCCATCCTCCCCAAAGCCCGAATGGCTGTTTCCATGTCAGCCAACAAAGCCTTCAAACAAGTAGGAATAGGCTTAGCTTCAACAGCCATGAGTGCCTTACTAACCACCAATGCTCTCGCCTTTGATGTCCTCGTAGGTGGAAAAGATGGCTCCTTGGCTTTTTTTCCAAGCGAGTTTTCAGTGAAGGCCGGAGAGCAGATCGTCTTCACAAACAATACTGAAGGTTTATCTCACACTGTAATGTTTGATGAGAAAAAGGTTCCTCCAGGCGTTGTTGCTTCTGCTATCTCTATGAAGGAGAAGGAACGGCTTCTTGCGCTTGGAGAGGCTTATTCTGTCTCTTTGACTGTTAAGGGGACTTACACTTTTTATTGTTCTGAACATCAGAAAGATGGGATGGTGGGGAAAGTTACCGTTAATTGATTTTGTTATGATGATTCAGTTCCTTTTTTTTTTTATTTGTATTCTGGACATTTCAATGTATGTTTGAAGCTTTGTTTGATTTGAAGGAGTAGAGCGATATCTTTGGATCTTACCTTCTAGATAGCAAATGTTTGATAAGATCACACAAAGAGGAGGTGAAATGGTTATCCAATGGAGCACCTTAATTTTTTTTTTTTAAGTAAGAACAATTCAAACACTTATGATCAGAAACTAATTGAATCAGTCAATATAAATAATCAAACACACTAATTTAATGTGCACAAAAGTATTATATTATAGAAGATAAGATATACATAATGTGAATATACTAATTATTGTAGTGTTTAAATGTTCATATATATTAGAAATGATTACTCTCAATGCTATTAATAGTCACACGAAACTTCTCGGGTTTCATTTGGGGTGACATTTTTACTGTTTCTTAAAGCAGGTTTCAGTTTAATTTTTTACTATAAATTTGTTTTAAGAAACCGTCTCTAACTTAACTTCGTCGTTTGCACATGCCCGAAATAATGTTAAAATTATATGAAAAAATGTGACATTTAAAACATAAAATTTGCTTGACGAATGAAGACGGTGGGTTGATTCATATTCATTAATTTTCCTCTTTATTTTATTTAATCAAAATTTAATATAAAAATAAAAAAGGGATTAAATAATCTTATACTTAAATATATTATCTAAACGTTCATGCCACAGAACTCCAACACGTTAGCATTGGCTGCTTCTCCCCCTCCCTACACGTTGCACTCACCGCTTCTTCATCTTATTACACGTTGCATTTTGCTTGCCACCTCTTCCCCTCTTAATATCTCTATTCATGCACAGTAGATCCAAGAGCCCAGTTGCCTTCCTCGTTTCTCCGGTCATCTGCTATGAACTCTGCACCAAGGAAGAAGAGAGAGAAGATTCTTTGTTGGGGTTACTCTATGAGGAAAACAAGATTGGAATTTACAGTGGTTTTGGTTTACAAACTAATGTCCACGTACTATTAGAGATTATATACAACCAAGTAGTTTCTTAAGGGTTATAGGACTCTTTTAAGAGAGCGGATTAGTACAGGCCGGAGAGCTTAAATTTTAGAGAAAAGTTCAGTACTTATAATATTGTAACAGGTGAGAAGATTAAGGAAGAAAGTGAGGCATTTTACCCATTTAATATGAGTTGGGGAGGAGTGCTGCTTTAGACTTTATAGGAAGGATCTGTTTAAAGAAGCCGTGATCAATCTCTCAGGTCAAGTAAGTGCATGATCATCATCATTGGACCCTTGCCCGATCACTCTCATCACACTTTCACTATCATGTTGTCATTGTTGAACAACCACAACATGACCATAATCATCAAGCAACTTTCATCACAGGACATCCATTGTCAAACCGTCGCCGCTTGACTACTATTGTTAGATTAATGTCATCACACTATCACAATCATTGAATAACTTCTACTTGATCATCACCATTGGATCATTGTTGTTGTCGCACTGCCACCATCAAATCAGTATTACTAGGTTGCTACTGTTTGACCAACACAGTCAAACCATTTTCCCTTAGCCTTAACTGTCCAAAAGCCTTCGCAATACTATGTAATAGTTTTTATCATGTCCTTATACTATATATAGTAATATTGTAGTCTTCAACTTAAGAAACACGCAAACCTTTATAATTAATGTTTACATAGTGAAATCACTTTATCGTGGTAAAGATGCGATTTTTCATTTCTATGTTTTACATGTAAAAATTGCGGTGTTACTCAAGCTCTTTTCTTTTATGTGTTTGTGTATTGTATCTTCATGAGAAGTTATGACTAAAAACTCTTTCAATTAACCCCCCCCCCCCCCCCCCCCCCCCCCCCCCCCCCCCTCTCGAATGCTTCTCCTGGATCCTCCAACCCTACCCATCTTTCATGGAAGAATATTCTTAATTATCATTAGAGACTCATCCTCAAAAACCTCCCCTTTCCTTTGTTTACCCCATATGTTATTCCTTTCGCTAAAGAGGATCTTTCATCTAGCTCATTTCAATTGGAATCTATCTCTAGTAGGCTACTCGATCGGGAAGCACCTATATTATGAAGCTCTGCTTGTTGCAATTCGATCGTAAGACTTAAAAGCTCTAAGGTACGCTCACTACAGGAAAATCACTTAGTATCGACGGCTTGTTCCTGCGGTTATCATAAGCTTTCCGACTATTTTGGAAAAAACTAGCGGCTTTGCGGTGGTTTAAAATCTGCCGGTAAAAATCGCGTAGGTTTTAGCACCGGCGGTTTTACGCACCGGTGGTTTACCGGCGGACCGTACCGCCGGTAGTTTTCTGGCGGTCATAACGCCGGTGATCGCCGGTTATTTACCGGTGGCATACTGGCTGTTTAACCGCCGGTTTAGATGGATTTTTCCAGCGGCCAAACCGCCAGCATATCGTCGGTACCGCACCAGCGGTCATAATCGGAGGAATTACCGGTGGCGCCACCGTCGTTGTATCGCCGGAGAACCGCTGGAAACTTCCGACGGTAATAGTAATCTTCCAGCGGTTGATATTAGTCGTCCGGTATCGAGGTTTCTCTTTCAATTCTTTTATATGTTATAGGATTAGTTCTCAATGACATTTTCTAAATCTTAAAATGATCCATATGGCAAGAATATGTTACAAGGAGTTGATGGTAATCTTATGAGATCAATTTCTTGGGCAATTAGGTTTGTTGATAAAGTTAATTAGGTATATATATAACGCATACTAATTATTGTATAACATTATTAACCATCAATAGTTGACACTTATCTTCCTGCCAATTTTATCAAAAGAATGATTAAGTTAATCAACTAATACCATCCATTATTTGTTAATCTTATCAATCATTCCTTAAAATCTATCCATTATAAGCATTTAGCATCCATTAACCATTAATATATGATGGCATGATGCATATATTTTCAATAACCTAGTTTCCAATCATATCAAGAAATATATTACCAATAGTTCACCTTAGCAGCACTCGGAGGCCAATTTTGCGCAGGAGCGGGGAGCGGAGCGAGATCTTTGGTCTTGCTTTGATGCCGGAGTGGGGGCGAGATCTTCGGCCGGAGGGACCTTTTCGGCGGCCGGAGGGAGTGTCTCGATCGCGAGAGGCGGAGGAGACGGGCCGGGGCGAGTGTCGCGTAGGAGAGAAAGGAGCAGGCGAGTAAATGAAATGGAAGGCTCGGGACGGCTTATTTTAGGTCATTTTCCGACAGCTTTCTTGTGGTTAAGATTGTCAAAAATAATTCATTTAACACCGGTGGTTTAAACCGCCGGTAAAGTGCCGATAAGAACTAATGTCGTCAGACTAACCGACAGTTATTTGACCGCCGCTAATTCCGGCGGCATTAAATTAAATAACCGACGGTTAGATCGTCGGTAAACGCCGGCGGTCTAACCGCTAATTAAGCCGCTGTTAATACCAGTAGTTACATAACCGCTGGTCCAGACCACCAGTAATTGATGAATTTTTTGTAGTGGCTCCAACTCCTCTCACTGAGCGATGACTTTTTCCTATATTTGATTTTTATTACCTAAGGATTATGACATGGCATGGGCTAGAGAGCTCGGTTATTCCTCGAAAAATCATTCCTCCTCCAGAAATGATATCTCTAATTCAGACCTAAGAGAGATAATTTCACCTCTATGCTTATTTGGCTTAAAATACACGATCTTTCATTAGTTTGTTGAAACTCAAAAAGGATTTTAAAAAATTACAAGTAAAATTTGAATTTTGTTAGCTATTAATGCTTTAACTGCAGAGAAAGCTAGGCTTACATATGCTAGGGTTTACATCCACGTGTCCAATACAACCACATACCCTGATCGAATTCATTCATATTTTAATGGAGGATGAAATATTAAATTTAAAAAATCCAATATGAATGGAAATTGGTTCCCCATAAGACCTGTAGTTATTTATTTCATCCATCTACATTATGCCCATCTAAACGCTCCACATCAGTTGTGATTGAAGCCACAAAATGTGGAAGGAGTACAAGACGGGCTAACCATATATACTCAGGCTCCCAGTGCTTACCCGGCCCTTCGACTAACCCGCCTAATTTTGTCCGTAAACCCACTAGCATCACTGTTAATTTCCAAAGCTCCAATCCTGAAGCCTCAAACAACCCATCTAGCAACCCCGACACATCTAACCATAACCTATCCATAACACCTTCCTCCAACATTAGCACACCCTCCTCCAACCCCTCTATTATTTTTCCTCCCAATATCATCAACATGCCTCACCCAGGTCCTTGTCAACCCTATTTTGCTTAGCCTAAACAGCTAAACTCTCATACTAAAGACCCTCCTCAGTCATTGCTCCTCCAAACCTAGCCTCTATAGCCCCTTCTGATGTTATGTCTTCAAATAAATTTGATGTTCTTCATCAAGATATTATTGACCCCTATCTTACTTCCAGTATAGTTTTCACATCTGAAGTTACTGAATCCAATAACATAGTCCAAATTCAGCTCATCAAGTTAAAAATATAAGGGGAAAATAATTTAGGAAGTCGCCAACCCTCCTCCCTCTAAATCTCAATGAATCTCCCCATTATTAATTGTTGATTGAAATGTAAAGGGTTTCAATAACCCTCAAAAGGTCCTAAGTTGCAAGCATTTTGTGCAAACAAATGATTCATATATGTTATATACTTTGAAGAAAAGGATTCTTTCTTCCTTTCTCTCAAATGAATGGTTTTGAGTCACACTCTGTCTTTGAATGTGAAAAGAGCTGTCACAATTTTCAGGTTTCAAAATGTAATAGAATTTAGTTACAATGGTGTTCTACCAGAATGAAGTTCACTCCTAGTTTTGTCTCTTCCTAGATGATTAGTGACATGATTTATTTTAGTTCAGATACCTCTTTCCAACTTTGTTGTTTATGCTTCCAACTGTGTTAATGAAAGAAGGGATATATGAGATCAAATCAGGAACATTATCCCTCCCTCTAATGTTCTTTGGATTCTTATAGTAGACTTCAATTGTTGTAGATTTTTCTCTGAAAATGGCTGGGGGTAATGTTATTCCTCATAACTGACCATGGGATTTCAATTCATTTATTTTTAATGCTCACTTAAAAGATATGATCTATGTTAAAACTTCTTTATCTGGTTCAATAAAAATAACATATTCTTATATAAGAATTATTTGGATAAACTAAATATTTACTGGCATTTGCTTATCTCTATTTTTGTTTCCCCTTCTTTATATGGTAATCCTCATGTCGACTAATTTTCTAACCTTAAGTAGCTCAAAGCTGTAATAAAATTTATGAAATGGGACAATTCTTAGCTTAGATTTAACTGATATTCAAAATATGTAGAAGGATTATTTGTTGAGTTTGGGTTTTGATCTGATTAATATTGTTTTAAATGTTAGTTTTAAATAGCTTAATATGCAAATTGTTGATTTTATATCTGCTTGGGCCTCCTAGATTATCTAAAGGGAAAAAAACTAATATAACAACACAAACTCTCTTAATTATTGAGATATTGTTCGCTTTGGCTTAAGGGCCTCACAATTTTTTCATGTTGGTGTAACTTGTTAGAAGGTCACCCATGTAACATCAGTTTTTGCTCCAGGTTCGTCCGGGACGATCGGTACAGGTTATTCAAGGAAAACAGTTTTGGCTGCATGGTTCGTCGGGACGAAATTTGGTTCGTCTGGACTAAAATTCTCCCGAGGACAAGTCTTCGGGGACGTTAATTAATCTCGTCTGGACGAAATTCGTCCATAGCCACTTCGTCCCGGGACGAAGTTTCGATCGTCCGGGACGATCAGTCTGGATATATATAGAAATGAGATATTTTGAAGAGAGAGAAAAGCCCAGGAGAGAGAAAAACGAAGGAAACAGTGGAAAAGTGGATTTTTGGGCGACGCCGGCTATTTTTCGT